CACAGGATCAGATAACCTGACCAAGTCTATGTCTGTCTTTTTTTTTTTTTTTTTTTTTTTTTTGCTTTTCTTTCAATATTGGAATTGAATTCAGAGCTGTTTTACCAATGAATTTGGCCTTTTAAATTAAAGGCCTTTTAAATTTTTCTTTTGAGATTGGGTCTCACTAAGTAAGTTGCCCAGACTGGGTTCAAACTCGCAATCCCCTCTGCCTTAGCTATCTCTTAGGAACATGTTTATCACTGGATGAACTAAAGTCAGAGTGAATTCCTTTTTTCCCCCTTGCATTAAGAAGATATATGCTATTTCCTCTCCTTTTCCTTATAGGGCAAGCTCTTCCTTGAACTCTCTTCACTGTGTCTGGAAAGAAGATAGTTCAAAATTAACTCTCAAACATAGCTACTAAAACAACAAATGTCTGCTGTGTTCTTGGGTTTCCAGAACTTGAGAAAGTCTGGGCCAGTATTTGTGGCTTTCAGTGTGCTAGGGCTTGTAGACTTTTCCATGGAATTTGCTGCTAAGCTACTTACCCAGCCCAAGGGTAGGGAGAGTCCAAGCTGATGGCTCACAGAACTCTGTTTATTCCCAATGAGTGTCAAATGCTAATAAAATTCAGAAAATGACCAGATTTACCACATCTGACATTTTGTTTTTTTAATGTTTAGCAAAGTGGATGCTTAGTCAGTGAGTGAGGTAAAATTTTAGACCTGGAAAAATGCTCCTTATCAAGTATTTTCTAGAAAAGAGAAATGCAGGCTTCCTCTTCTGCACTTGACTGGCTCCTTTGTTTTCCTGACATGTGCGCTCTTGCATTCTCCTGGACTTGTTTCTGACCTCACTGTTTGAAGCACAAAGTTTCAAGAAAGTTTGGGTGTGGTCCCCTTTCTTTCTTTCTTTCTTTCTTTCTTTCTTTCTTTCTTTCTTTCTTTCTTTCTTTTTCAGTTTCTTTCTTTCTCTCTCTCTCTCTTTTCTTCTGAGAAGTCAGGACTGCAGTTTTTGTTTGTTTTAATAATTTAACCAGGATTGGGTAGGGATTTTAAATCTTCAAAAAATTAGACTATAAGTGTGGAAAGCAAAGAAGTTAAGAGAGAAAGGAAAGAAAAGAAACAGGAATAAGGAAGAACAAAAGACAGTAAAGTGAAAAAAGTAAAAAAATATAAAAATAAATGAAAAAAAGGAAGACAAGAAGCAACTTGTATACAAAGGAAAAAGAACATACAGGTAGGATATGCATAACTTCAGGCTCCAACCTAGATCAACAAATAAGAATGTATATCACATAATGTCAGATACGATTATATACACTGAAAGTTGAGAGGCATTGGTCTCAAGATGCATCTCTAACATGGAGCTTCCAGTGGACCAGTGGACCAGCAACATAAAAGATCACCTGAGAACAGTAAGAAATGTAAGCTCCCAGGCCCCACCCTGGATTTACTGAATCAGAACCTCTGAGGATTAGGCCCAGCAGAACATGTTTTAAAAAGCCCTGCAGGGCATCTGTTGCATGCTAAAGTTTGATAACTATAAGGCTAGATTTTTTTTTTTTAAACAACTGGATGAATTTATGTTGGTCAGGTGCATTATGTCTTCAAATCTTTCAAGGGTCCTGGAGTAATACTAAAAATGTTTAACACCTTGAGTGGTTTGGGTGCTGATCAGTCGGGAATAAATACTAGCTAAGCATCTGCTCAGTTGTTTGGTCCAATAGGTTGTGAGACTTGTGGGAGAGGTAAGGGTGTTTTAGGGGAGAAATGGGGTCAACCTCAATGTGGTGGGACAAGGGGAGAGAGAAAAGGGGCAGAGGATATTTATCAATGATTATATTTCAATAATTCAGCAACTATTCCTGTGTGTATCAGCTAAATATCTACCTTGTGATATTGATGATAAACATAAGAATTCATCTTCCTAGACACCAATAACTTTGATGTTCAGCCGTAAGTTATCTGTCAGAAAAGAAATATGCTTATTCAAAATTTGCATATTTGTTTTGAATCTCAGCATGGAAATGGGGCTCCTCAGTGGCATTTATAGCCCTCAGTGATTTTTTTACTATTGGAAAGCAAAAGTCTGCCCCTGGCCAAAGGCAAATCTCAGGATCTGGAAGAAAGGCGTTCAGTTACTGAGAGGCATTGCACACTGACTCAAGGGGTCGTGATGGTGGGTTACACGGATCATATAGTGACAGTCTGGAGAAAACAGAAAGGCACAAGGTCAGGGACGCAATGAAAAACCAAGATGGCGAAGAGCGTTCTCTTCTTTCTTTACTTAAATATATTAGGGAAGTGAATGACTTCTACGAGTAAAAGGCTGTTCCAAGAGTGAAGTTTTCCACACTTGAGTTCTTTAGTAATACATCAGTTATTTCCATCATAAGGTAAGTTTTTGCTAGCAGATTGCAAACTTGTGCCTCCGGCTTTTATGGGCTGTCTGTGGTGTACTATGAGGACGTCTATAGACACTGTGGTCACAGTGAGGAGAGACGTGGGCATCACCATCCTTCAGGCAGAAAGAGCTGAAGCAAAGAGACCATGGGCAGGGAAATGCTCGTTTGCAAGTGTTTTTAAGAGGTGGGCTAAAAACTCTGGTGATAACTATTGCTTATCTGCTTAAAAAGATACTCTTGCTTTGGGGTTACTTGTGTATTTTCAAATTTTTCTTAGTAACAAGTAATTTTAGTTTTTACACTAAACTTTCTTGCAATGATTTAAACATTTATGATATAAACCTGGGATATACAACATATATAAGGGATAAAAAATGTACTGAGCCCGCCAAGGTAAATATTACATATATTTTACCCCTGCTGTTTCTATGTTCATGTTATTCTTTAATGCTTCCCCAATTTATCTTGTTGAGAGAAGAATTGAGAATATATAAATTTACTAAATGTTAATCTTTGTCCATGTGATGTCTATTTCTTATATAAATTGCTGAGGCCTTATGTCACCATTTCTGGTACACAGTGATTGTGTACTTCTCCCTGCATGAGACTCACCTTTATTTATTATATATTAATGAATTATAAAATCTAATATTATTTGTCCTTTGCAAAGTTTTCTTAGCTCTGAAAAAAATCTCTAAAAATATCCTTACTGGT